TCTGATGATGATTCCACATCAGTTTAATCTTTCTAAAAAATATAGAATAAGATCAGGATTGGCACTTTAAATTAGGAATCAGAAAGGCAGTCAAAATAAGGATGCATATTTTTTTGTACCAAGTTTGGTAGAAATTGGTCGTCTGAAGAAAATTAACCACAATTTGACAAATTTTGGGCCAAAATTTTCAATAAGATGAATATAACTTAATCACACAAACATAAATACTTGTATTAGCTACTATTAAAAGCACAATGACAATACACTCATTTGGAAATAGAAATAATAATTTTAAAAAAATGAATGGAGATAAATTTTTCATAAATAATCTATGATAAATAAATATGGCAAGAAATAAGACAAAGAAAATCAATCCCCCTCAGGTACTAGGCTAATAAAATTATTTCAAGAAAATAGTAATAAAGTGAATATAAATTAATAGATATAGGCAGTGAGAAATTCCTTGGCTAATGCATTTCTCAAACAAATGAAATTCATTCTCCTCTATTTTATTTAAACAAATGTTCACTTACAAAATTTTCTTATATTAAGCATTTGATCCTCTTTTTTAAAAAAAACATTTAATCTGTATTCAAAGGGGGATAGAACTTTTAATATTTTAAACGTTTTACAAATTTAACCTTTTACTTAAATGTTAAATGCATTATCAATAGATCCATTCATGAAAATCGTATAAGTAAAATTTACTCAGTGTAATTAAAGTTTCACATTGTCAATCCCTCTCTTCCTCACTCCTCACAAATTGGAGCAGTTTTCTGGTAAAGGTCTCTTTGATACCGGAATCTACAAGACCACACACTTCTTCATCCGCCTCTTGTGTTAAGGTGTTAGCTTTTTCACTTGAGCTTTCTCAATGTTGTCCTTGAAGGCACTGAATGAGGCACGGGTAGACGTCTCACAATGAAGTGCTTTCTCAGACTCCTCAGATGAAAAAAAACTCTGCAGTCATCACTTTCAGTTTTTGTCTTTTTACATGCCCTACAAGGCCTCGTCCTTGAGGGATTTTACCATCTGTTTGAGTCTTGTAGCTCGATCTCTGTAAAATGAAAACAAGGATATGTACGACTCTAAATGGCTTTACCACCCAAAATGTTACACTGAAAACTAATGATGAAAAAGAAATCAAAACTGTAGATCTTCTGGTTTGAATTAATAAAGGAAGAGAACCAGAAGTCTCTGTCGAGACTATAGCTCTACTGGTTTGTAATTGCAACAAAGGAAGAGAAAAGCCATTGCCATCAGACCAAATCTGTAGGATGAGTAGCTTTTTTAAAGGAATATCACAGAAAATTCTATTTTTAGTAACCATGGTAAAACCGTTCAATGAAACCAAAAACTGATGCACTAAATTATGTGTCATAATGTAGTCTAATTGTCTGACAAATTTTATGAAAATCAGATCAAAACTGTAGTGGGAGTAGCATTTTGAATAAATTTCACAGAAATTTCTATTTTTAGTAACCATGGCAACGTCCATTCATTAAAATCTAAAACCAATGCACTAAATTATGTATCTCAGTGTAGTCTACTTCTGTGCCTATTTATATTGAGGTCATACCAAATGTGTAGAAACAGTAGCATTTTAAAGGAATTTCATAGAAATTTCTATCTAAAGTTACCATGGCAACACCATTCATAGATATCATAAACTGATGCATTTTATATGTCATAGTGTCGTCTACTTGTTTGCCAAGTTATATTGAAATCAGACCATTAATATGTAGGAGGAGTGGCATTTTAAAGGTCAATTTCACAGAAATTTGTATTTTTAGTAACCTGGAGTTACCATGGCAACACTGTTCATCGAAATCAAAAACTGATGCACTAAATTAGTGTAGTCTGCTTGTGTGCCAAGTTATACAGTGTATTGAAATTAGACTAAAACTGTAGGAGGAGTAGTGTATTGAAAAATTGTTTAAAGCAGACAGACAGCTAGACGGGTGGACGACGGACACTGTACTACCCCATAAGCTCTTTTGGTCTCTGACCAGTAGAGCTAAAAATAAGCTGTTGGACTTGAAATACTAAAACAGCATAATTAATTTAATAAAACAAGAAATACTAAAACATCAATAAATAAAACAATGATCCTTGATTTCGTTTCTTTTTGTGTTAAGATTGAAATTATACTAAAAATTTGGAGGAAAAGAATTCTAATTAACTTTCCAAAATTTCTAATTTGATTAAGGGGGCCAATAATTTTCAATAATGGTTTCAATTGCACAATATTTCGCGCATCAGAGTAAAATGAAGTGTATTAAAATTCACTTTTTAAAGCAACTTTTTTCACTTAATAATAAAAAATAAACAAAATTAAGAAAATTTAGGTATGAAAATATAATTACATATTTATTTAACTGATTTTTAAACCAATTTTGCAATTGATAGGTAGGTTGACGTTGTTACGGTGTGATTTTGACGTTATGATAAACTGAAGCTCTTAAAGATGGGGTTAATAAAAATGTTATTAAAGAAACAGTAATAAACATACCCTCTTGAAATTTAAAACATAGAAATTTGAGAATATCTCAATCCTTTTTGTAATGTTTTCATATGAATCCTTTATTTTATTATAATTCCATTATATGAACCCATATTTTGTAGTACTTTATAAAAACAGGAAAACTCGTTAATTTTTGGCATTTGGAGATTCCCCCTCTGGTAACAAGATGGTAGAATTTTGTGTTTCTTAAATATATTGTATAATATAGTATAACTAGGTCTAATCAAATATTAAAGTTTTAACAAAAAGTCTATTGTAGTATTTGTATAATTTGCTTTATAAGTGCTGAAAATTGGCATTTTCCTACATAATCCTATTAAAGGTGCCTGTATTTTGAGATGGTCCCTCAAAAATACCTGGACGGTAGATTTTCCCCAAGCTTTGCATGTACACTGAACTTAATGCAAGTTATATATGGTATAAAAATGAAGAGTTTCGCTATTGTAGTTTTTGCACAATAAAATCACAGTCGGTCCCCTTAAGTTACCTTTAACAATCCAACCCCTCAGGGTTGCAATAAATTTGTTCCTCTTGAAAAGACGAGAAACTTTTTAGTACACTCTAATGTTACTTGGTTGATTTTTGCCAACTTTTCAGATCGAGATTTTTTTTATCAAAGATTTTGTAGGAATCTTTCACAATCATTAAAGCATCTAGTTATTGTTATATTCCTGTAAACCTGCATTCATAGTACAACTTTTCATAAATTTTATAATTATACATGTACACTAAAAATCAAGATACTTTTCATGTTTAGCAATGTGTATCTTAAATTGGTGAAAAATTAACTCAGTCAAGTAAATAATATCATTTTCAATACATGTATCAGTATAATAATATCTTTGAAGGTATGCATGTTCAAAGCATTCCATTTTTTTTCAATAATGAATAAAAAAAACACACAACATATATATTTAGTTGAAATTTTTTAAATTTTGTCAATATCATATTAATGGACTATATTTGTGGAGAAGACAATGATGATGAGACAATCAGTAATAAATAGAATTTGAAGGTATCAAATTTGTAATTTTAAATTTTTAATATTCATGTTAAATGATGAAAACACAATAAATCTTACTTTGCAAGACTTTGATACTCTTCTGTGGGCCTGCGATTCATCCCTCCTTTTTTGTGTGACTGTAATTTTTTAGTTCTTATGCAGTTGCTTCAGAATTGCTGGGGATGAAGTCTGCTGACTGTCTGAAGTAAATTGGAATGATATCAGTGTCCCTATCTACATATTTAGTGTTTTAAATTCTGTCAAACTATGTATTTTACCTGACTGTGAATTCAGTCATTGACAAAGAGAATGAGTGGATATCTGGTAGGGTAACTACCGTAATTCGGTTTAAAAAAGACCTGCATCGCTTATATACTTGCTTTTTTTTAAACAAGAGGCCAATAGGCCACATCGCACACCTTAGCTTTGTTGTTCTTGAGAAGAAGATTTTCCTATACATGATATACATCTTTGTAAAACCTTGATCGCTCAGTGTGGCCCCATCCTACCCCCGATGGTCATGATTTGAACAAACTTGAATCTACATGTGCACTACCTCAGGTCAACAGTGATGATTATTACTCTTTAGGCCCAAAATAAAAATAATCTTGTTTCCTGCTACCAAACCTACCCTATTTTATGGCACCCTACCGTGAAGTTTTATTTACTTTTTTGGGGGGGGGGGGGATTGGAAATTTCATGATCCAAAAGTAAAAAAAAATACATATTCAAGTGGTATTTCATGAAATTTAAGTTTTAAATATGGGATTTCATAAAACACTACTTAATTTCAAATAAAAATATTGACCTATGACATGTTTAATTTGGTTTTATAATAGTTCATATCCAACACATACCATTGGAAAAAATAAATAATTTTCCTACCTACCCTATTTTTTTCAGGCAGTTAGCAGGTAACAAGACTATTATTTATTTTGGCCTTATGTTTAAAGTGATTGTTGAGTAGGTTGACATATTTTATAATAATTTCTTTCTTAGAAGTATTTTATATCTGAAACAAGAGGCTCATAGGCCTTATAGGTCACCTGAGCATCATGTAACAAATTACCAACATTTGAAGTTGGTTCATGTTTTAAACCAGAGGCCATGACATTCACAGTTTTGAAAGAGGCACCAGAGTGCTCATAACTGGTATATATATAGCATGCTTAGTTCAGACACTTAATACCTATAGGCAGAGTAGGGGAACCAAAAAAATGCATTTTAACTGTTAATTCAGTAATATTCTGCAATATAAATAACATATGTAGTATTGACCCACCCCACAGGAATCCCTGACCCTGGGTCCACACATTTCACAATTTTAGAAAAGGCACCATATTGCTCATATAAATATAAGTGTTTAATTGATACCATGGAGCAGATTTCAAAGCATTAATTGATATTTTCAGTACATAATTAGAGCCCCCTTCCACTCTACGGTACCCCTACCCCAGGGACCTGGCATTTCACGAATAAATGGAAAGACTGTTACTCATCATAGCTTAATATATATATGGGTAGTTCAGACATCTGCTTAATATATGTACCCAGCAGCAGAGAAAATGTTTGAAGAATTAATGCATTTTCACTGTATAATCAATAAAGGCCCACCTTGTCACCAGAACGCCTGACCCTGGGGCCATGAAATCCACAAAAATCCATTAAAAGAGGCACCCTTCCTAATCATGAAAATGTATGCAGCTAGTTTGCTTAAAACCAAGGAGCAGGGGAAAAGATTTTCAGAGATTTAATGCATGTTCAATATATGATCAATAGATCGAACCCCACCCTAACACAACTAGAACTGTCCAAACGGGACAAAATACCCCCCGCTGGGTTTTTCAGAAGAAAGTTTTTCCATAATAAAGATATGTATCAAACACGAATTATAAATTTTTATCCATAAGAAAGATATGGACCAGACAAGAATTATGAAATTTTTCTTCCAGTGACCTTGAACTTCCCCAAATGACCTTGGGTCAAGGTCACAACACACCCTTAGGTCATGAGCTATCTTAGTGTGGAGTGTTAGATTCTAATGTCCCTCTGTAAGAAAGATATGGAACGGACACGATTGCACAGACAGACGGACAGACGGACAAGGTGATTCCTATATACCGTATATACTCGCCTATAAGTTGGATTTTTGGGAGTTAATTTCTGGTCCAAAACTCTATGTCCGACTTATAGGCGAGCTATAAAATGAATGGTATTATATGAGGTCAGTCTCTATGATATAAGCTTATTTTATACAACCGACTTATAGGCGGACCTGTCCTTATATATAAATAATATACGTATAAACTTTGTTTGCGGGGAATATACAAATTTTGAGAAGAAAGATTTTCAAAGAATGTATTTTTACTACATTATAAATAGAGACACCTTAACACGAGAACCCCTGACCAGGGGCCATGAAATTCATAATAAAATTTTAGAGGAGCCATTCTTCATAACTACTGTAGAAGCACAAATTTTCATGGGGATAAAATTTCGTTGATTTGTCATCAAAAATAGTTTCGTGGGCATTTAATTTCCTGTGGGATTTAATTTCGTTGATAATTGTTAACAACGAAATAAAGGAAATTTAATCTCCCACTAATATTTGTGCTTTTACAGTATGTATGTAGTGACAGGCTGTTTGTTTGTTTAATCCCAGCAGCAGAGAATAAAGATTTCAATGAATTTATGCATTTAACTTCATAATCAACCATGACCAAGTCTTAGGGCCGGGCCATGAAATTATCAATTTTAGAAGTGGCACCCTTCCTATATATATAGTTTTATTTATACATGTAATAGAGCAAGATTTTGCTTAATTTTCCAGTTATACTTGAGGAATAGACACTTTCATTATTTAATGCTTTCAAAAAGTCTTAAAATAAACTTGACCAATTGAAGATTTTTTCAGGTCAAGTTGATTTGATGGGGCTATAGTATGATTCCATGCCTTATTTTTTTCATTAAAAAAGTTTATTTCAAAAAAATTATGGTACACAAAAACAAAAAATATTATGAAATTTCTTTTTAAAAGCTTAGTTACAATATTATATAGCACTTATTTGATTATTATAATATAGAGGAGTTTTTTGTGGGAATAAATATGACACTATATGAAAAGAATGTTTTTTACATAAATAGGAAATAAATAAGAATAATTTGTTCAGCTAAAATAAGTGAGTAAAATGTAGAAATGAAATTTTCTTTAAAAGTATTGTTATGATTTTTAAAGTAGGAAATTTTGATCTTTCAATTAAAAAATATTCTAAATTTATGCATCCCAAATGTGCATTTAAAAAGTATGTATGCATGAGGCAAAATTGTTTAATCCCAATAAATGAAGATAAATGAATTTATGCAAACTATTATCACCATTTTAGGGCCGTGGGTATGAAATTATCAATTTTAGAAGTGGCACCCTTCCTATATATAGTTAGTTTATTTAATACATGTATACTCAATAGAAGAGAAGATTTTCAAATTAATTAATGCATTTTCACTATACAATCAATGGAGCCCAACCCTATAGCATTAGACTCCCTGCCTCTGGGGCAATGAATTTCACAATTCATGTAGAGCGCTGAGGGCTCAATGCTTATTACAATCATGCCAATATAGTTTGACTGCTTGAATTCCAGTAGTACTAGTAAAGACATTTTTCACTACACATGTACAGTAAAACTTGGTTATAACGAAGTCACAGGGACCTATTATATCCATACAAGGAATTCGTTAAATTCATACAGCGGGGGATCAAAGATAACTTCACTTTATCCGTGAATTCACTATATCCGTGTTCGTACTAAACAAGTTTTACTGTATACATAATCAATAGAGCCCCAACATAACACCAGAACGCCTGACCCTGGGGCAATGAAATCCACAATTTTAAAAGAGGCACCCTTCCTAATCATAACAATGTATGAAGTTGAGTTTGTTTAATACCTAAGCAGCAGAGAAGAAGATTTTCAAAAATCAATGCATTTTCACTATTTAATCGATAAAGCCCCACCCTACACATGCATGTAACATCAGAACCCTTGAACCTGGGGCCATCATCAGAAATTCACAATTTATAAGAGGCACCCTTTCTCATCATAACTATGTAACTATGTAGTTAAATTGTTTAGTACCCAGCATCAGAGAAGAAGATTTTCAAATAATTAATGCATTGTCACTTTATAATCTATATAGCCCCACCATAGCACTAGAATCCCTATGCCTAGGGCCATGAATTTCACAATTTTATTAGAGGACTCAATGCTTATTACAGTCATGCCATCAGTTTGTTTGAATTCTGGAGTAAAGAAGAAGATTTTTAAGATTGCATTAATTTTAGTGGTTTTGAACCCACCCCATCCCTCAGGTCCCAGGGGGGCAGCTGCAGGGACCATGAAATTCACAATTTTTGTTTCCCTTCACCCATAATACTAAGATGCTTAGTGCCAAAATTGCTGAAACTGGTTGAACGTTTGCAGAGAAGAAGCTGAAAATGTTCATATGACATCTATGCATCAAAAGCAATAACATGTATCCTGCCAGGTACATGTAATATGCATCCTTAGATGTATCATCCATGCAAGTTTGGTCACTGTTGGGTCATAGTTACTTGGAAATGAAACCAGTGGACCAAAAACATTAACCTGTGTGCTCATCATGATCCGGCAAACGTAGGTCAGATTCAGCATCCGAGGCAAGCCTGGTAGAGTGCATCCTAAGATGGTACATACATTGTCCATGCAAGTTAACTGTTTGGTTAACACTGGGCTTATAGTAAATTACTTTGAAAAGAGATCTACAGTTGTAGAGAAGAAGCTGAAAATGTTTAAATGTTATTATTATACCTCTATTGGTAATACTCGAATTTGATTGGCTGGTAAGAAAACTTTAAAACACAACAATGACTCCAAATGGTACTGTTTAAAGCAATTCTGACCTAGGAATCATTGCACGTGGGATATAATGACCCGGTCATTATTTTTAATGACCGCTAAAAATGACCGCTTAATCAAAAAATCGTTTTTGAGTGAAGTAAATGCATAAGATAATAGTTATTCGAAAAAAACAACATGTTTTTAAAATTGTGCATGGTCCGTTTTGCATTACCATACACAATAAGATAAAATTTTATCGTTTCAATATTTCGTTACAATTCAGTTCATGTAATGTAGAGGCGGCTCTTTAAAGAGTTGAATTCTGTGTTAGATTTTGACTGTAGAGGAAAATTAATCGTTAGTTATAACAATGTATGTCGCTATGAACCAAATATTGTTTTAATCAGTAAATCATGATGCAAAAACTTACACGACTTGCAGACGTCGATGTAAACAACTTCACTACACGGGGTGTAGCGAATCCCGATCCCGATCAAAGAAGGAATTGGATTCATACTTTTCAATACATATCGGTATAATAAAACAATTAATTACCCCTTGCAGGGTTCAAATCAAAGAAAGAATTGATAACGGTTAGAGATTCATACTTTTCAATATATATTATGGTATAATAAAACAATTAATTACCCCTTGTGAGTTCAACATGGTGAAAACCAATTCAAGACTTATAGGCCTATTGGAGACCTGTCCCACGAGGTGACCTGACCTGACCGAGGCCGCATAGCGGCCGAGGTCAGGTCAGGTCAGGTCATCGATTGGGCCAGGTCGAGGGCCAGGTCGACTTTTTAATATATATCGGTATAATAAAACAATTAATTACCCCTTGTGAGTTCAACATGGTGAAATAAGGACCCTCGACCTGGCCCAATCGATGACCTGACCTGACCTCGGCCGCGTTGCGGCCTCGGTCAGGTCAGGTCACCTCGTGGGTCAGGTCTCGGGTCCTTATTTCACCATGTTGACCTCACAAGGGGTAATTAATTGTATATTATTTTATAAAACACATGACAGATGACGACAGACAAAAACAGATAACAATAGGTCACATTAGTGACTCAGGTGATTTAATCAAACTTCATTTAAAATTTTGTTAAAAATTTCATCAGCTGCTTGATTGAACACAGATTTGGCAGAAAGAAAAAAAATTATGCGGCTGCAATTTGAATGGGTCGATTGGGTTGGTTACAGGAAACAATGTTTTCATGGTCTTAAGAAGTCTATTTTAAAATATTAAACATCATTATTGAATATTCTCAACTCATCCCAGGTGGTCATTTTGGTGAGCCAGACTAAAAATCAGGTTGTGTTTGAGAGACAATATGTGCCTGGCAGCAAAATAAAAAAAACTATTTTTAGTATACAGGTAACAGTCACGGTCACAAGGTCATTGACCCTGGTGTCATTTGAAAGAATTTGATTAGTGGTATGCACACCAAATATGAAGTCTCTATCTCTTATGGTTCAATAGTTATGACAAAGGCATGAAAAAGCTATTTTTAGCATATAGGCCACAGTCAAGGTCACCAGGACATTGACTTGGTGTCATTTGAAAGAACGTTTCAGTGGAGTATACAAACCAAATATGAAGTCTCTATCTTTCATGGTTCAAAAGTTATGGCAAAGGTTCAAGTTTGCAGACGTAAAAACTATTTTTAGCATATAGGTCACAGTCAAGGTCACAATGTCATTAATGTTGGTGTCATTTGAAAGAATTTGAACCTAATTAGTATGCATACCAAATATGAAGTACATGTATCAACCTTAAGTTTTATCTTTCTAAAGTTATGGCAAAGGTTAAAGTTTGCAGACAAACAAACAAACATACAGACAGGAAAAAAACAATATACGTCTCAGATCTATTGATTCGGGCACATAAAAATCACATGGGATGGAAATGGTGAGGTGACTAGCGTGAATTAAAAACTATTATATCTTTGTAAATCCAATGTGTAAAACACACTGCACACTAGCTGCTATCTCTTTTGAGGTCTGAATCTCCCTATTTTTCTATCTCAGTAAGCTAAAATGTATGCCACCTGAGAATGCTTTCACAAATATTATTACGACAATCATGGTTTTGCTTTTAAGATTTTCCTAATGTTTTCCTATGTTAAAATTTGACCCCCTATTATGGCTCCTCCTACACCCTGCCCTGGGGTCATGATTTAAACAAAATTGAATCTTCACTACCAGAGGATGATTCAACATGAGTGTCATCTTTCCTGTCAGACCAAGTGATTCTTGAGAAGAAGATTTTTAAAAGATGCCATTAATTTTTCACAAATTCATACTTATATGTATGAGGACATGGCCCTTCAAGGATACTCCGTGCCAAGTTTGGTTAAATTTGGCACACTCACGGTATAGTAAAATCTGAAGAAGTCTAGATGAAAATGCGAAAAGTTTACAATGACTCGGGTGAGCTAATAATTGAGGTCAAGATCATACGAAAGGACAAAAAATGTTGATGCAGTTGAACAACTATGATCAAATTATATCAATTGATATTGCACTGATCAATAGGTCTATAACAGAGATGTCAATTTTACTCAGACAGCTTACCGGTAGTCGAATAGTTGGAATGCTTTAGTCGTATGTGTTTCAAAGTATTTATTTTACACCAATTGTCACTTTAAACTGTTTAAAGGATCCGTTGTGGGATCCTGATCCCGATGTATTTTCATAATATTTAAATATATGAGTTTGTGTGGTTTACTGAATATCATACAGTTTCAAAGAACAGTACGTATTATGAGCCCATAAAACATGCATGTATAAATGTTGATTAATATCAACATCAGCCACTCAAAATTCAAAAGTCATTATTTATATTAAATTGCCCAGGGTATTCCTTGTAAAGTAGATCAAAGTGAATTGTAAGGCTCAAAGTTTTTTTATGCAGTGGATATATAGATACGTATATTGTTTTTGTCCTGTCTGTCTGTTTATCTATTTGTCTGCAAACTTTAACCTTTGCCATAATTTTTGAATTATGATAGACAGAGACTTCAAGGTTTGGTATGCATATTCCACTAATTAAGCTCTTTCAAATGACAACAAGGTTTATTAAATTTTTATCTTGTTTCCTTGACTGTGACCTATTCGCTAAAAAGAGCTTTTTTCTGGAAAATTCAATCTTTGTCATATCTTTTGAACAGTGAAAGTTAAAGACTTCATATGATAGAGGCCTGTAGCAAGGGTTTTCCATGTGGGGAAGGGGACGGGGCTTCGAAAGAAAAATCTGCGTACTACAGAGCTTTGCTACATGTGCACTATCAAATATTTTTTCCAATGATAGATTTCTTCACCGCATAAGCAGATGTCAAGTCTTAGCCGTAATGAGTTACAAAAAAAGACAAAACTGGACGTATTTATTTAATAAACCTAAAAAGTTAGATGTTGGAAAACCTAAGACCCCTAAAATGTTGGTGGTCGACATTTAAAACTTCATTCGACTCGAGTGACTTTTCATATCAATTACAAATGGATCTGTGTTTTTGAGGAAGGGTCCATATTCTCTTGGGGGTGGGTTATTTTTTGAACTTCAGTTGCAGCCCCCTTTTCCCCTTTTTATGGGGGGGGGGGGTCCCATGCTAAAATCCATAGCCATTCAAAGCAAATTAATTGAAGCTTATGCTTAGCCTATACTTATACTTACATTAACTCATAATTGTTAATAACGATGCCAGCTGTAGACCCACATGTACAAGTGAGATTTGGTGATTAGAGGAAATTCGAGCTATACTACTGATTTCTTTTTAATGTAAAAAGACAAAGGCGGTGTTCTACAGTTTGTAACTGTTATATTATAACATATCCTACGTGTACCCACATTCATCTTCCTCAGATTGTTATACTAATTTAATTAATATTTACTTACCAAATTTATCACATTGCTCATGGCCACGGGATCTCGTGGAATTTTCCCGCGAACTTGACTCGACGAGTGACGCAACGAGATTTTTAATAAATTTCATTTTCTTTTTTTTTTTTTAGTATACACTCTGCATTTTTAGATAAACATGCTACAAATAAGCAATAAATTTGAGTATTTACAAAAATTTGCTAATTTTTATGTTTTCGAAGCGATGACCCCTGACATTAAAAATGTTAGAGCTGATTTGCTGTTATTTACAGTGGTTCTTTTAAAAGATAATAATGGACCGCGGTATAGTGTATATGATACTGTTAGGCCTTGCTAGTTGAAGCTAATAATATACCGTAGTAGACCGCACGGTCTAAAAGTCTGACTTTATGAGTTTTACAAGCATGCTAATAACACTAATAAGTTTGTTATAGTATCAGCTAATAAGTATCGGATCGGGTGCCGGTGAATACGGCCTAAAATCCGGTGAATATGTAGTGTTATGAACTGTTTGCGTTTGTATAGATTATATAGATTTCTAATAAGTATTCGTCACCAATATCATTTCTACATAAAAAACAAGATGTGCTTGTGAAACACTGATGCCCCCATATGGCAACACAGCGAAGGCTTTCTCAAATGCAGGTCAAATATGTTGGAACCCAAAGTAAGCCCTTTTCACAAGAAACACACATGTGAAATATAAAACCCTAGCACCACTTGTTCAAAGGTTATGACCAAGGTTAACGTTTTTAAATGTAGCCCCACCTCCTTGCCGGACGAGACAATGTTATTGGTTATTCGATACACTAATTGGAATTTGCCCGAATTTCTATCCCATGTATATTTCAACAGTGAATGAAAGATGGTGTAAATTTCAGATGCTAATTTTGTAACACTGAGAATGACACGCATTACTGAAAGTCGAAGCTTTCCTGAGAATTATCCTACATGTGCATGTCTTATTACAAGGAATACGCTCGTGAAATATGAAAGCCCTAAATCCAACTGTTCAAAAAGTATGACCAAGTTTAATGTTTTTAAAGAGTGGGTCAGGTCAAGAATATTCATACAAGCTGAAAGGCCTTGTCACAATGAATACAAATGCGAAGTACGAAAGCCCTATCTCCAACTGTTAAAAAGTTATGGCCAAGGTTAACGTGTGGTATAATTTTGTAAAAGTAGGCCAATCTCCAAAGTTAAGGCCAAGGGGTCAGATTTTTTGATACCCAGAGAAAGGTCTTGTCACAAGGAATATACCTGTGATATATGAAAGCCGTATTATTGTTATTGGCTAGGTTACAGTTTACAACAGACAGGCAAAAACAGACAAACATACAGACAGGACAAAAACAATACATGTAAACCCCTGAATCTTTCCATCCAGGGACATAAAAACCGAGGGGAATTTCGTCCTTCCAGAAAAATGTAGATCACTAACGCTATCATACTACATTGTATTTGAGAAAATTAATCTATACTGTATGTGATACTGGTGATGCCTTAAATTACATTGGCGTCGGAAGCAAATTGAAAGTCGGGGGGGGGGGGGGGGGCTAAGCGTAAAGAAAAAAAATTGTGCCTTCTAAAAAAACCTGACAAGCAAAAAAAAAACAAGCAATTCAAAGAATTGTGGTTCCCCGCTTTCGGTGACTTTTGGAGTGAGATGTCATTTTTTTATGACATTTTGTGTCTAATATGAACGCCCTATCATAACTCATCTATTTAGAAACTATCACTGAACTCCAAGGTCAAGGTCAAAGGGTTAACGTTCTTGGTATCCAATGAAAAGTCTTCTCAGAAGGATTACATATGTAAAGTATGAAAGCCCTAGCCCTTACCATTCAAAAGTTATGGTCAAGGTTAAAGTTTTCTCATAAGTACACAAAATCTCCAAGGTCAAGGTCAAAAGGTCAAGATTGTTGGTATCAAATGAAAGGTCTTGCCACAAAGAATACATATGTGAAATATGAAAGTCCTGGTATCTACTGTTCAAAAGTTGTGGCCAAGGTCAAAGTTTTTGAAAAGTAGGTCAAACTCCAAGGTCAAGGTCCAAAGGGCAAAGTTCTTGGTATTCAATGAAAGGTCTTCTCACACAAATTATATATATGAAGTATGAAAGCCCTAGCCCTTACCATTCAAAAGTTATGGTCAAAGTTAAAGTTTTTTCATAAGTATGGAAATCTCCAAGGTCAAGGTTGTTGGTATCCAATAAAAGGTCTTGCTACAAAGAATACATATGTGAAATATGAAAGTCCTAGTAGATACCATTCAAAAGTTATGGCCAAAGTAAAAGTTTGGAATTTTTGTGTAAAAGTGGGTCAAACTCCAAGGTCAAGGTCAAAAGGTCATATTTGATGGTACCCAAGAAAAAGTCTTTTCATAAGGAATACACATTTAAAATATGAAAGTCAAACCTCTACTAAATCAAAAGTTATGGGCAAGGTTAAAGTTTTTGTGACGGACTGACAGCTAGACAGCTAGACGGACAGACGAATGAGATTTAATGTCCCCTCGCTTTCGCGAAAGCGGGGGACAAAAAAAAAAGGAAATGTCCATTTCCCAAATACGAAAATTTTATTTCGTGGGGGGGGGGGGGGGGGGGGGGTTAAAGTTCGAAGTTCAGTACCTAAATTTTTTTCCAAACACCAACACTTTCCCCATTTTAAACCTATACTAAGGCGTATCTGTGGAAAGTGGGGGGCTAAACCTACGAAGATATGTTCAATGCCTATACTATGTATATATTTGGAAAAAAAGTGGGGGGCTAAGCCCCTCCCTAGCCCCCCCGGTTCCGACGCCTATGAATTAGAATTGATTACTGAAGCTCTTATTCAAGAGTACAATATTATGTTAACAACATTCGTATTTTATGTTTTGTACTTATAAGATTTTATGGATATAAGAATGTGCAACATTTACATAAGAGTTATCGTGCTTGGATTTTGGCGTGCAAAACATTTTTTCACGTGTCTGTGGAAGTCGTGTGCGTGAAAAACCTTGTCTGGGTTGTTTAAAAAGCGTTGATTTTCAGTTTCATATAGACTGTCGTAAAAACCTTTATTTTTTAAACCGCCCCCATTTTTCAATTTTTTTAAGTACTCCAATTTTGACTTTATCTCTCTTGTTTTAAGTTAAATTCGTTTCAGATATAATTTTTAGGAGATATAATTTTTAGGTTTCAAACCACAAGAAAAATGAGTTTATGTAATTTTTAAATTATTATTTGTTAGTCATGTACGAGATATACCTGTAATTTATGTTATCATTCAATTCGTTTCATAGCAGTATCATATAATATTGATAATTTTATAGATACCGGTATTTTGAAATGATTATTTGCAACATTATTTGGGATGTAATATCAGCGGCAAAACTATAAGCACACTTACATGTAAGTGTTTTGAATGGTTTATTTACATGATTGAGGGCGATTGCTCGAAATGCTAAATCTATTTTGATAACATTGAATTGGGATTTTTGCAATTGCTTCCTTAGGCCAGCATTTTTTTATTTTTAGGTTTACAAACCCGCCGCTCAAGTTTTTGAATTTTCAGAAAAAAAAATAAAATTGAGAAAAACAGAATTTTTTCTTTCCGATGTCAAATTTGAGTCGGGATCGAGATTTCAAATTTACGAACTCGTACTTCCGGTTTTAGATGGCGGGTAATGTAGGTAGATTTGCAAAGTCCATAGCAGGACTAAAGCTTTCTGTAATGTTAATATTTATCGATAGGAGTGCCATTCAAAACGTTTCACAAGTTCACTGCTGACGACTTTATTGCACAATGACA